CCGTGGGGATGTGGCCCCTGGTTCATGGGGGGGTTGTGAGGCTGCATCCAAGGCGGGGGCCCACTGGGGTTGTGCTGCATTGGGTGGCCGCCCCCGTGCCCCCCCATGCTCGACATGGGGTGAGGGAAGTTGTGGGGGCCGCTTGGGCCCGTGGGTCCCCCACTGCTACTGCTCCCGCTGCTGCCGCCGCTGCTGCCCCCGCTGCCCCCGTGCATGTTGTGGAAGGGCCTGCTCTCCGAAGGGCCAGAATTCATCCAGGGGGGGCGGCTCTAAGAGGAGGAAGGAAAGGAGGGTCAGGCCAACCGTCGGAGAGCGAGGAGAGACCCTCCGTTCTGCCCCAGAGACCCTCACGCCATTGGGACGCCCCCATCCAGGCAGCAGGTCAGCAGCCGAGCACAAGATGCAACTGCCCCCGTCGTGGGACACCCGCTATGGAAACCCCCACCCCCCCATGGAAGGTTCCGGGTACTCACGGGAGGCGGCTGGCTGCTTCCTGGCCCCGATGGCCTTGGGCCACTGGGCAGGGGCGGGTTCGAGGGTCCGGAAGAGGATCCCACAGAAGCTGGTACCGGAGCTTCTCCCAGTTCGGCCATCAGAGACAAATACTCCTTGTCCATGCGGGCTTTATCTTGCGCCGACTGGGGATCGCCAGGCCTGTCCAGAGAAAAGGATGCTTGATGTCACGCACACTGTACCAAAATGTGTGGATGGCCCTGGGGGAAAGAGATGGTGCCTAGCCTACGATTAGCGATGGGAGGCAGGAGCCCCCCGTGATCAAGAGCCAGACACCTAGGAAGGAGGACCCGTCATGCTTGGCTCCCAACCAGAGAGCAGCAACAACGGGAGGGAGGGAGGGAAAGCACTAGAGTGCAGGGGGAGGTATCAGGGAGCGCCAAGGAATCCAAGGGAGCACCCCAAAGTCCTCAGCTGGGAAAGTCCGAGGCGGAGACAGTCCCCAAAAGAAAGCGAGTGTAACGATTGGCTAGATGCAGTAGGACAATCAGAGGAAAAGGGGAAGTTTTCCATTGCTGTTTGCGCACGAAACTGTTCGAATTGGCTTTTCTACTTCTGTACCCCTAGGAATCTTCCGGTAAAGTGATTTACTCTTGCTAAAAAGATGTGCCAGGAGTTTCCTTTCCTGGTTTAGCCCATGGGAGGGGCCCTCACGTCGATCAGGCAGCTAAAAGTAGCAGCAGGCCGTCGGCACCTTCAGACTTGCACGCTTCTATTAACGCAGCCTTGTAATAAGGTGCTCGTGTGGGTTGTGCTTCCTGTCTGGTTTGCCTCGGAGGGCTGACAAACCCCAACACCCTGGGGGATCATTAGCACACGGCCAAACTGCAGAGGTCTTGAGCAGATTCCTCCAAGGGAGCATGGCACGGGCATTGCAATTCAGCACAAGGAGAAACCCAGAGGACGGCGAAGCGACTCCAGAGGCTTACCGGGCAAATTTGCAGTCCGACGCTATGTGTCCGGCTCCCCCACATTTGGTGCAGACGGTGGTATTGGTGATGCTGCGAGTCTCCGTATTTTGCCATGGACGTAGAATCCTTCAGACAGGAGAGAAGCGAATCAGAGCAGGGCTAACGGAGGAAGGGCTCTTCCCGGCAGCCTCCCACTCAGGCTGCCCCAAACCCTACTACCTGTTGTCATCTTCACGCAGGGTCCCGTTGAGGCGGGCCAGCTCCCGCAGCTGCATCTTGCGCAGGTCATTCTGATCCTCGGGGGTCTCAATGCCTTGCTTCAGAATATTCCTGATCTGGGAGAGACAAAAGGCCCACGTGGCTTCTGGGTCCTCTCAAGAGCACGTTTCCGGGCGAGGACCGAGCAGCCATCTTCCTTTGGGGAAATACAGCTGGGCATCCCCGTCCAGGGATGCTGCTCACCACCCAAGAGGAATGACCCTCAGCCTTTTGCTGCTCCCCCCCCCCCACTTTGAAAGGGGATGGCCCAAGAACCCATCTAAGTCCAATCGTTTCTTGCCTCCATCTGACAAACAGCCAAACGATTTGACAGGCATTCCAGGCAAGGCCTTAATTTCCGCTACCTTTCCTGCTAAATCGGAGCCCCTCCCTTGAGAAAAAGACTGTAATGTTTCTCTGGGTCATATGCGTATGTGGGGTATGTGCATAATGGTTATCTTTTGAGAGCTGGTTAGCGTACCTTTGAAGAGACCATAAAGTTCTATTGTACTGTGTTCAATTCTACTCTTCCGGAAGACCATACAAGGGACTGACATTTGATCAGGCTTAGGAAGACAAGTGGGTTTCACGGGGGGATCCTTGGCACCCACTCGGTTACTGCTCGCTGACTAGTTTCTATGGCAACCCTGGCGCCTTCCTTTTGATGGACTTGGCCTGAGAACATCAGCATCCTGGCACGGAAAGCATACAGTCTAGCTCTCCTGCGGGATGGAACAAGTCTTCCTGGTACTTAGGCCAGGCACTTTCTGGAAATGGCGATGAACACTGACTGTCTGAACTCTCTCACCCAACCCAGCGTGCCTCAGGTTTTGGGACTGCGACTCCTGGAGGCTCTACCGGCTGAGACGTGCCCAGTCCCAGCACAACTGCAGGGAGATCTTCAGTTCCACAAGGCCAAGCCATGGACATGACTTCCATTTCTAGCTACAAGGCACCGAAGGCGTTTTAGAAATAAATACGGGCAGTCCTTCATTACGGCTCTTCGTTCAGCAGCTGTTCAGAATTACAATTTCTGCCTAAAGTTACAGCCATTGTAGCATCCCCACCACCATGTAAACAAAACCGGGGCGTTTGGCAAACAATTGTATATCCCAATTATTCCATGTTGGCTTTGTCTCACCGCTTCACTCTTAAAAGGATGCTTTACCGATGCTGTATCTATCCTCCGGTTACCATGTTTGAGGGGGTAGTTTGGATATAACTCGGCGAAGTGCCTGCCTCGCTTCCGAGGGTAGGGCTACGCGTCTTTTTACCCCGAGCCCAAGAGGCCCACGCGGCCTACCTGTTCCACAGCCTTCTTCACGTTCTCCATCGTGTTGGCAGTGACCAAAGCATGCAGGGGCTCGTCTTCGCCAGGCAACATCTGGCCATCTTTCCGTCCGACCTTTCCTTCTTTCACGGATCCTTTACCCCTGATCATGATCTTGGCATTACACTCTTTTTCAATGTTTTTCAGTGTGTTACCCCTGAAAAGGGATTGAGAGATTACATCAGGCAGCCAATGCTGGACAACCTGGTTAAGAGAGAAAGAGTTTCCACCAGTAACAGCCTCAAGTCTGGGAAATGGTACTTCACTATATAAAGGAGTAGCAATAGCACTTAAGACTTATATCCCGCTTCACGGTGCTTCACAACCTTCTTTAAGCAGTTTGTTAGTGTCGGCCTCTTGCTCCCAACAATTGGGTCCTCATTTTACCGACCTCGGAAGGCTGGAAGGCTGAATCAACCGTGAGCCTGGTATGAATTGGAACTCCTGGCAGTCGGCAGAATTAGCCTGCAATACTGCAGTCTAACTACTGTGCCACCAGGGAATGATGCAATGGGTTCTAGATGAGCCTCCCCTTAAGATTAAAATCACTAAAGGCTATGTCAGGAAAATATACTTTCCATACTTCATCTAGAATCATAGAGCACGTTTGCCCCACTAGAGATGTGGGTAACGCGCTGCCACCACCATTTTATGCATCTGCCATCGCCACTCCCCCCATCCCACCCCCATCATCCTTGAAGCATTTCCATACCTAGGTCCAATCAGAAGCCCAACAAAGTTAATCTCAGGATATTCATCCTGCGGAATCATCACCTTATCGCTCACTCGAGTTGCTGGAGGTCTGGAAAGAACGGACAAGAAACAAATTTACACACTCTTCCCTCCCTCATAAAACAAGACTGCACGGACTCCAAGAGTCTCTTGTGTCAAGACATGCTAGAAGTAGGGACAACTTCAAAGTTTTGACCGTATCTTCCTCAAAAATAGTACAAATAATACAGGTAGTCCTCAACTTACAAGTTTGTTTAGTGACCGTTCAAAGTTACAACAGCAGTGATTCACTTAACCATAACTAGCAGGAATAGTTGTAAAATGACTTAAGGAATTTTCCACTTAGGAACATAATTTTTTGGCACAATTGTAAGTGGAGGACACTACCTGTAATCCCAAAGTTTTCCAAGTGTGGCTACTTGAACAACAGATAAGATTAAAATTCAGCATCGTGGCTGTTCATTTGTACAGACAAGACAGCATTACCTGCCCAGCAGTAAAGGACCACAAAGGCTCTTCAGGATTAAAAGCAACCGAAACGCCACGTATTCCCACTGTTCCTACATGACCTTTTAAGGTCTGGGGAGGGTCAGTTCAGAGCACCCCCTTGTTCTGAGATGAAGCTGATGGTGATAAGGAGCAGACACTGTTTAAACCCCCTTATTGTGCCTGCCTGTCAGGTTGCCACGTTAGCTGAGGTTAGGGGACTCCCAAACAGCCCTTTAGCCTCTATTTCACGGGTGTCAAACTCGCCGAGTCATGTGACATTTCACCAAGTTTTTCGCCTTTGTGGAGCTGGGGTGGGCGTGGCCCGTGGCCCACCCCTTTTGACACCCCTGCTCTGTCTGAATGCGCCTTGCAGATCAAGGAATCCAGCTTCTGACGTACTTGTAATCAGCCGGTGGCTTGAAGTCTGGATTGAGAGCCACCATCTCGGTTATCAGATTGTGCCTCTCTTCTTCGAGCTTCTTCCGCGTCCGGAATTCCCGGGTGTTCAAGCGCTTCCCCTCGCTATTGTAAATTGGTTCAGGGGAAGGAGACCTGTGGGGGAACAACGTCCAGTGATTTCTCACGGGAGATAAAACATTCAAGGCCACTTATTAAGTACTGGCTCACCTCAACTCTAGTGTAACTCAGAAAAAAAAAATTAAAAGAGACCACAGGAAAGGAAGGTGTAAATTTTCAAATCCATTAATGTGACATGGACAAGGCAGTTAATGGCAAACCACCGCCAGAAGGAAAAATCTGGGGGAGGTGGGGGGGGGGGTTTACTGGGGAGAAGGAAGGAAAACAGTGTCAGACATAGCCATGACAACAGCTCTGCCATGAGTGTGCCTATTAAAAAAGGGGAGGGGGCAGGGAAGATGGAGAAAGTTGATTCACACAGAGAACAAACTTTCCAACTTCATTATTCCACGGAGCCATACATTAGAAAGAACCCTGCCACAGGAGATAAATCAATGAAGAATTATTCAGGTTAACTTTGGACTTTGTTTTTTGTTTTTTTTTTAAACATCAGGAAGTAACAAGACAGGTTAGGCTTCTATCAAATTCTTGCTGGCAATACAGATTAAGCCTATTCAACTGGCACCACGTGAAAGGGTTAATGTCTCTGTGCTGGCTTTACCTTCTGCTGCTGCAGACCAAGACCAAATGAAGCTGTTTATTGTGTCAGGAAATGGTTAAGGTACAAATTGAGCAAATGTACCCTTCTCATGCCATGTTCTGGGCCTTTAAAACCACTAGAGACAGACCTGCTTTCTCCATGGGGTTCAGGTACCCAGAGAGCAGAGAGTTTAACCAAGGAAAACGTTGCCGTTAAAAATAAAATTAACTTAATTTTACCACAGCTGGGCTTATGGCTTTTTTTTTTTAACCACACCTCTAGAATTCTGGTTAATATTATGGATCTTCCCCCGCCCCCCCAAACATATTGCAATAAAAATTTAGAATCAGCTGCAAGAAGGGAAGAGATGTTGGTCATGTTATGTTAAAAAAATATACATCCTTCAAATAATGAGAATTTAAACCCTGTGATTTTAGTTAGACAATCTCTATTTTCTAGCTGGTTAAAGTGATTGATTACAGCCAGTTGATCCCCATGTCTTCTCAGCCTGAAGTGAATCATCAACAGAAGAATATGAAATAAAATTGTCAGGTTTGGTAAGGAGTGATCATGTCTAAATTACACTTCCATTACTAGGACCCAAATTGGCCTAACCAACCCAAAAGGTGAACGTTGTCCCTCATCCGCAATGGCTAGCCAGTTTAAAAAAAACTCATTCACTAATTTAATAATTTTAAAAGACACATGCAGACATGAAATAAATTGATTAAACCTTATGAGTTTCAAACTTATTATATACCTAATGGTTTCACATTTACAATAATAACAGATGCCCTTTTGCAAGTATATAAAACAATTCATTTTTAATAAATGAAAAGAGTTATCAAATCTTTTAACCAGTATGGTCTCATCCAAAGAAACATTATTCAACAAACATCTTATATATATATATATATATGAGTAACATAACCCCTTGTTTTGTATTAACCTCATTCACCTGTTAAATTAAAACCAACCACCCCATGTCATTCTTATAAACATAAAAAGAACATCAATCTACTCCCACCATGAAGTTCACGTATTATGTTTAAATCTAAATCCCATCATTATATTAAAAAGCAAGCCAAAAAGGCATTTCACAGCTCTTTGTAACAGGCAATATAGTATCTTAAGAGCTACATTTAAAACTCTCTTGCAAGGCATCCAAAAGTTTTAGCAGCCTTGCTTTTATTTATACCTCCAAATTGCCATTTCAGATGGGCTAAATTTAAGGAAAGGCTTTCTTCCATATTCCCATTTTTAACAGCAAGTACTGGCTTGTAAGTTGTGTATAATGTGGCTAAAACACAACTTCCAGCTTATACCTTCTGATAAATTATTTTAAGAAGCCAATTTTTTTGAAAATCAAACCATGTGCATGTTATTTATTTAGGGATGACCCTTGATCCCAACACCACAGGTGTCCAATTCTGTGCACTTGTAGGTACGTAGTGCCCAGACCGCAAGATACTGGCCACTGCTATGTAGTAGCTGTTACCAAAGAAACTGGTTAGTGCACACCCTTCAGCCACCACTGCAAAATACTGCAAAATCAGCGGTCAGAAAAAGTTCCCAGACTGCTCTCAGTCAGCGACTGGGCTGAGAATTCCTCAGCGTGAACCTGTGAGAAAGACCTCTGGACTCTGCCAGGACCAGCACTGCACATGTTAAAATGAGTTGGCCACCATGCATTTCCCCCCCCCCCCCCCCAAGTCAGGTTAAGCATGACAGCCTACACAGGCTTATCAACCCCACATCAAAGATGAAACCTGATCTCTTTCTGGTCTGGCTTCACACATTCCCTACCAGTCAGATCTTGGCTACCACCTGTCAAGTCAGATCACTGAAGGTATTTCATTAGGAAGGAACTTCATTGAATTGACATTATGATGCCACCAAAAATTTATTGAAAAAGGTAAAAAGTGTTACTGTCAGCTGGTTAAAACTGTTTTCCCAACCTGTCCTCAGGGTTAGGGGGGATGCCCAGGTCTCCTGTGCGCAGTTTACGAGTCAGGTCTTCTATCTGCAGTTGCACTGGAAGAAACCAGGTTAGGAAAGAAAAAAGGATGGAAAAAAAGACAATGTTACCAAAAAACATCTGAAATCTCAACATCAAAGCATGAAGAACTGGAGAATTTGCAAGGGATGACTGATAACATCAACATAAGAATGAGGAGACCTTACAATGGTTATGTCAGCCAAATAAGTTTACCAGGAATCCAGAAACGGCCCTTTTTATTTCTAAGCAAGTCTTAAAAAAACAATTATTCATCAGAAAGCAAGACAATAATTCAAGATTTTTAAAAAAGGAAGTTTTTTGACTGAGTCTGACATCTAAGCCACTGAAAAATAACCATCTTAACTTGCTGTAACTTGCTGACAGATTTCCATAGGAATTAAAATATCATTAATTCTTACTCTTACATCAGATCAGCCTCAGTGTCTTATGCGTATTATAGTTACAGTACATAACCAGAAACATCTTTTTGGGGATTATGGTTTGCAGGTCTTGTTTCTCCTAACTCATAAATACTAAATGCTGGTAACTTATGATTGATAAAATCTTACACCTGTATAAACTAAACACTGAAATACAGTTATGCAAAATCTTAACAAGCGTTCTTTCACTTGCTGGTTATCCAATTCTGCATAGAGACAAAGAATACCTAAAGGCAGGACTAATAAATGTCAGATATTTAGTTACTTTTTTAAAAAGATCCATAATGTAACATTTGAATCCAAGTGCAAGACAACTGTAATATGACAACTAAGACAACTAATACTATCAACTAAAGAAGGGTATCAAGACAGAGCACAGTCCTTAACTTCCTTGATGGAAAGTCGCGTGTGTAGAAGAATATGGAAGAGGGAGATAACAGCGTCTTGAAAAAGGGAATAATACTATCATCTATACAGTATCTACTTCTCTAGCGTATGACTGTGTTTCATGTTTTTGCCGAAAACTGGTGTTTACTTCTGGCTTTTGGCAAAAATGGCCCACAGCAAATCACCAGTTTGCTTTATAGCTGTGGCAGTCTTTACAAGGAAGTGCAAGAAAGGTCATAAAAACGGATCCCGTCACACCGTGACCTGTTTTACGACAGTCACAACTTATGACTGTAAGGGGCAGGTTCCATTATGGTTGAAAGTCCAGGATTGCTTGTAATTTGTGGCAAGTGATGGGTGGTTTTAAGTTCAGAAGAAAACATTTTCCATTTCATGCACACCCATACCAAGGTCCCTTTTCTACAGGGATAAAAACTGGGAAAACAACACTGGCTATTAGAAGAGTTCTTCCAGTATGTCACTGGGCTGGTGGGCATATTTGAAATGGCTTTTATGAAATGGGTACCATGGGGGATACAGCCCAACCAGAAAGTACCCATTTACCAGGCAGGAAGCTAGCAAGGCTGATCCCTGCTACTCTTCCACTATCCCAAGATACTTTAAACCAGGGGGTCCCCAACCTGCAGTACGTAGCCCAATACTGGGCTGAACTGGGCCGCGAAACCAGCAGGCACATGTGTGTAGCTCCACTGGTGCAAGCAGTGGGCGTGTGCATGAAACCATCTCCCCTCCCCGGCAGTCCATGGAGCCGGAAAGGTTGGGGGCTGCTGTTTTAAACTCCCTCTGCTTCAGAGAGCAGCACACTTAAAAGAAGAACTGGGCTAGGCGGCCTACGTGGAGCCCAAGGACAAACTCAGGCTTTTCTGTATTCTGTTTTCAGGGGTTCTGCAGTATGTGACTCTTTCCTGCACGTACTTTTTAATTTGATTTTTTAAAAAGTTAAATCAGGCAGGACAGAAAACCTAGCAGGCTTCAAGGGATGCATTTCCAAACCTACATTAGAGATCATGGTCACCATGGTCTATCAACATTTTTCATTCTTTTCCTTTACTGGTTATTTTGTTTGCTTTTCATTATCTTTTGCTTATTTTCAAAGCTAGCAAGCAGGATACCTTTCAAAACAGAAAGGGATATAAAGATGCAAAGCAAGAAAATTCATTCGTTTCTGAGTAAAACAAAGCCTACGCAGAAGGTATCTTTTTTACTAATCAGAAAGTGTCGCTATAAAATCACACAGCAAATGATTTTGAACTGATCTGTCTTTCCAAATCAACTTTTATTTTCATGCTCAAATAGAAATATTGGCAGTAAAAGGCATGGATCTAGAATTATGTATTAATTTTTAGGCATGTGTAATTTTTAGACATTTTATCAAGTCAAAAAAACCTTTCATTTATTGTTAAATATAAGAATAAGTGCAACTATGTTGCAGATCAAGGGGTAAGATCAAGCATCTTATTTATTGGCAGGCAAAAAAGATATTTTAGATAATTTGTCTCAAGGTGAAGAAGTGAAAACAGAATTCATTTCCAAGAATCGAAACATAGAGCCTAAAATTCAGAGGCCAAGCATTCCTGTTTCAGAACCTGTAAAAGTGCTTGGCTCCATTTCAGATTCTGTTACAAGATATGAATGGTTTTGTTTCCTTTGATCCGTTATATTTCAAGAACACAGACAACTCCAAAAAGTTTAGAGTTTATACTGTTTCCAAATGTTCATAATCTCAAACATTTTAAACTCTTTCCTTCAGAAGAGTCTGGGATTTTTCACAACGGCTCTCTCTTTAATGGAATTTGCACTATTAAACTGAGGTGATATTTCATACCTGCTATTAATAGTTCCAAATGATAAATTATCCAGTTGCAGGCAGTTTCATGTATCAGGAGCCTCTTACAGATATGCCCCTGAATTCTTGTGGATGCGCGTGGACCTTTGCTTGGTAGGGCTAAGGAGAGCCACACCCCACCCTCCCATTAATTATCTTTCTTGACTGAACTGCAAAGCCCATCTTGAACACTCCAGTAAACCAAGGGCGGCACTCCTATCTCCGCACAGACTGAGAATTCTGATCCCATTCTATCCATTCACACACTGAACTGAATTTTACAAAAATATTAGAAATTTACATTTCTAAATCCAATGACTCAAACACCAGAGAATGCTTGACTATTCAAGCAAACTATAAGTTTGCTGAATCAGTATCATTTCTTTTCTGCAGAATTAGTTTGCACGGTACATCTTCATTAAACTGAATAGTGTTGAGCCCATTGAAATAAGCCAAAAATCAACTTCAGAAATGTAAAGAAAATGGCCCCTTTTCAACTGCAGTGTGGAAATATTGATTTTTCAAACCAGCATTAAATGATATGTTTTTCATTTTCTTGATGCAGAAACTCAGGGATCATGATGACAGTCTGATTTCTGAGCAGCCTTCAGTAGTGCTTTGGATAGCTGATTATTTTATTTCAAAATTCTCAGTGAATTATGCAAAAGAAAGGAGTTTTAAAATTGCTGTGCAACCCAAATGCAACAAATAGGAATTTAAACAGCTGTAAGTTATGAAAAACCTGTTTTATATAAAGGCAAGGATTGCATATAGTAATCAACATTAGAAAATCCTAGCTGATTTCAGTCCCGGCATTGATCGACATTGACATGTACATATCACATTTCCTAACACAAAATAAAAACAATGTTCATTCCTTTGTACAATACAATGACAGTTACCACTCCCAGTTCCACAATTAACAGATCCAACATCATAATTCCCATTGAACCAAGCAGTATCCCTTTCCCAGCAAGTATGTACATTTGACTTCAGAGCTCAGAGCTAACCTATCAGAGCCCACTCTCAAGTATTTGAGGATGACAAAACAAAACAAGTTAGAAGACTTTCTTCTCATTGGTCTTCATCATTCTGGATACTCAATTTTAGATTTGAAAAATTAGCATCACCACACAAGAGAAAATGAAAGGGAACCATGGTTAGATTAGTTTGCTATATTTCACTGCGAAAGAGGTACTTGCTTTCAAACAAAAACAGCCTGAAAAGGGATTCTTAAGTGTTCTCAGCTAGCAAGGAGTCTATGAAGATATCCAGAGACCCTGCCAATAAGTTTGCCAATCAAGTGAATGTCAGCAAGTTTTAACCCATCATCTCGACCGACTGTGCCACTTCTACCATGCCTGTGGAGGACACTGGTTCAATTAAACAGGACAGGGAGCTGGGATGGAGCCCAAGTCACTCTTTAAGTGGAGACAGGTTTATTTATTTAAATAAGGAAGACAAGGCTGCCATAACCAAAGTTCTCAAAAACACACACTGAAAATGCCTCAGACAAACAGTTAATTGGAAACTGCTTCTGGATCGGTACTGATATAAAGAACAAAAACTAGAACAAGCATTTACCTATGTAAGCTCTTTCTTGTTCACGGGTAAGCCCAGGAGGGATGACTGTGGGCATGCCAGGGATGATAGTCTTCTGCTCCATGGTGTCTTGATTCCACCTGCTCCTCTTCCTCTTTTTATTAGGGTAATCTACAAACAAAATGTAATTTATAGGACCAGGTATCCCATGGCAATATAGCTAACTTTGTGGTTAGCTATATGTGGTTGGAAATATAGCTAACTTTGGCCCTGCATACATACACTTTTCATATTTCACATACGAACAAATTTCTTGTCCCAAATCCTTATAAGCAAGATCAGACTGGGAATATGGCCAACTGTCTTACAACCAGGAAACCATTTTTTTAGTTCTCCAAAATTGGAACCCCCCCCTTTTAGACATATATATCCAGCACAAATATTTAGTATCATTTGATAAAAATTCAGATGTGAGTAAAGTGAACAAATCTTATAATTGGAACAGCAAAGCAAGAACCAGGTAAAAAACTTAAAAATTAAACCATGCCATTTTGCCTACACATCTTAAAACTTTCCAAGCTTGAGAAATATTGTACTGTCTTTAATGATTTAACAGTGCTATATTATAATAATTAAAAAACAAAATTTAGTCTTTTAGTTTCTTTTTAAATACTGTATCTTCATAAACATTTTCCTTTCGGTAATTCGGATCTAATGTGAAAGTTAATATAAGTGTACTTTATTTAAAAGACTGCTAGTAAAATTCAAAACAACAAGGACTAAGGTGATACTTCACTTAATTAACAGTAAAAGAAAAACTATTATAATCATGTTAGTGATGTCATGTAAAATTATTCCAATAGTCATCAGTTATGACATAACAATCTCTTTGGATACAAGGCAGCATTAGACAATCCCACACAATTCCTTTTATAGATAATAAACACATGAAGATATAAAGTTGGCATAAAACATTTATGATATATATCCAAACATTTTTTTATCAAAGGACATGTTAACTTGGACAAAATTAGCATTCTGGATTTGTTCAATATAGTGAACAATCACAAATTGTATGGGGTTACACCACAGAGGAAAAAAAACTAAATAGCCTTTTAACTGATCAATCTTGACATGGTCTATTACAAATGGGTCATCACTGGCCTGCCTAAGTGTGAGTATAAAAGTCTGCTTAAGTGTAATTCAACTTTGTGTATAGACCACAGTACTTTCATCAGATTTTAAATACTATTTTTATATTTCAATATTGTGCACCACTGATAAAGTTAATAAAGAAATGGCAATATTTCCAAATCCTAGAATGCAGTTTGCAATCCTGCCCTTCGTGCAAAATAAATAAAACAAAAATTTACAGAAAGATACTTAGGAAGTGAGCATATTTTAGTAAGGGCCATGTTTAGAGAAGAAATACAAATTCACATAACTATCATGTCCGTAAAGATAGGGCACATGTTCGCATACTGGCTAATTATGGGAAAAAAGGAAAATGGGGGGAAGGGGCAAATCTGGCTTCTGCAGCGTTTCTCAACCTTGGAAGCATGAAGATGGGTGGACTTCAACTCCCAGAATTCTTCAGCCACCATGCTGGGCCAGGAAACGTTGGGAATTGTACCCACCCATCTTCAAGCTTGCTGAGGGATGCTGGGAGTTGTAGTCCACCCATCTTGAAGCATGCTGGCTGGGGAATTCTGGGAGTTGAAGTCTAGTATCTTAAAGTGGCCACGGTTGAGAAACACTGGGCTAACGTGTTTGATTTAGGATGCATGAAAAAGAAACAGGAAGGGTCTCAACGGCACTTTTTAGTCTGCATAAAAGTCCCAAATCGCCCACAGTTGCTGTCAAAAAAAAAGGGGGGGGGGCGGACACGGGTCAAAGTGGGTCGACCGTCATAGATTAGAACGAGAGGAAAAAATGCCCAGAAGGCGGTAAAGCAGAACCACATCATTCAAATACCCGGACGCGATCAGAGTCGCCCCACCAGGACATTCCCCCCCCCCAATACACCGCGATTACCACCCCACTTGCCTGAGTTGCCGGCCCCGGCCTGGCCAACCTCGTCCTGCTGTAGAAGGTGGAGGTGCTGGGGCGGCGGCGGCTGCTCGAGGCCCATCGGCTGCTGGGGAGGCGGGGGCGAAGGAAAGCGGTACTGGCCGTACTGGGCCGGCTGAGGTTGCTGGGCCTGCGGGGGTGGCGGCGGCGGCGGCTGAGGCTGCTGCGGGGGTGGTTGGGGCTGCTGAGGCGGCGGAGGAGGCGGCGGCGGAGGGGGCGGCGGCGGCAACGCGGCGAAGGGAAACCCGGCGGCCGCCATGAGGCTCGGGATGGCCGGCTGAGGCTGGGCCTGCGCGGGGCCTGGAGGTGGCGGCGGAGGCGGCGGGCCTTGCATCACTAATCCGGGAGGAGGAAGCGGATAGCCGGTCTTGCCCGGCGGCGGGGGCGGATGCAGTTTCCCCAGAGGCGTCGCGTTGGCCCCGGTCGCCATAGGCGGAGGGCCTACACTGAGGGGCGCAATGGCGTCGGAGGCTTCGCGAACATTCCACGCCACCGCTTTCCCTCACAAAGGCGGCCGGCGCCGATTGGTCGCCCCGCTTGTCCCTCACGGGCCTGCTCGGCGTCCTGTTGGCTGGGAGTTACATTGCTCTCTCGGCGTCCGACGGCGATTGGAGGAGATTCGTTCGCCGGGAAGGGATTGGCGCGGAGGAGCGATAGAGGCGGGTTAAAAACTCATTGGACAGAATCTTTGTCACCTAGATGGAAAGCATGGCTTCGCCGTTGCACGTTGGTTCTCAATCTCGGAGGGCGGGATGATTTAGGAACGAGTGAGACTAGATGATGGGCGGGCTCCAGGACCTGAATACGGGAATCTGATTTGTCAAACGCCAGAGCTTGCGCCCTGGGGGACCTTTGCTTTCTCCTGGAGGACGCTTGCTGCACACGGCCTGTGAGAAATAGGTTCACTCCTATTGGCTGGAGGATTAGAAAGGAGAGCGGGCGTGGCAAGTGCAAAGTCCTTTGATTGGCTCGAATGCTAAGAGCTCCGGATTCTGATTGGTGAGGCGTCAATTTCTTCTGCCTCGCCCCAACTGACGCGAAGAGGGTGACAGAATTTATAGTAAGAGCGCCTGAACAGCAAAGGATTCTGGGAGATGATGTCAAATGCCATTACATCTTTTAAATCTTATTTAAAAGTGAACTAACCCAGTTTCCTTGGCTAGATGTGACATAAGATACCAAATTAAACATCAGCTGGCTAGTTTATAGCCCAATGTATTATCTGAATACCATTTCATTTTACTAATAAAGCTACTAAATAGATACAGAACAGTGTTTCTCGATCTTTTTTATTTGAAGATGGGTGGACTTCAAGTCCCAGATTTCTGGGACTTGAAGTCTACCCATCTTCAAGTTAAAAAGCTTGAGAAACACTGCTATAGAACACATATAGAACATAATAAAACATAATACAATACCTACATACATTCTCTGTCAAGTAAAATTTGGCTCCTAATAAATATCTGTGTACTTTTTCCTGGCAAGTAGATTGTTTTGGCCTTTTTCCAATTTTTTTTTTAATTCCCTTTATAATCAGATCTGCTGAGAAAGCCTGATGTAAAAACATTTTTTTTAAAAAATCAGAATCAGGAATGTCAACCAGAATACAAAATCATTCCCCCCCCCCATCCAGCACCCCCCAGCAAGTATAAAAGATAAGCCTTGAGGTGTAACTGCACCAATTTGGAAGTGAGATGGGCTTATTCTTTATACAGATGAAATATAATTTTTTAAAAAAATCTATATACTAGAAAGTTATACACCATATCTCTGCATCAAATATTGCTGATATTGTATACAAAAATGATTTAGATCCCAGATCTGTTGTGTTTTAGCTCCACTGTGCAAAGAATTCGATGCTTATCTTGTCAAAATTACAGCTTCAAGAGCAAAGTGTCAGGTTCCAAGTAATGCAATCATCACAAAAGGAACTCAGAGGCTTTGTAATTCTTCAAAGAACACACACAATCAATGTGGAAGCCAAATTCACTTAACAACCATGTCACTAACTTTAGAACGGCAGGAATTCACTTAACAGTGGTAGCAAAAAGGGTCATAACATGAGTGTCCTGTTTAGAAACAGAAAATTTGGGCTCCATTGTGGTCGTAAATCGAGGATTACCTGTATATATCTGAAACAGGACACAAGAAAAATTCCTTGCATTTCCACGAGTAATGACTCCAAATCTCCATCTGCAAGAATTCTCTACTTTTATTTTTTAATTTTTTAACAAAAATCAAAGCCATTCCACCGGGGAGTAAAATATCACAATTTAATATCCTTCTCTATGTTAAATAGCTATATTTTCTTCTCTCTCTCTCTCTCTTTTTTTCAAGTCTGGATTTTCTCAGGACAACAACATTCCAGCTTTAGCAGTTATAAAACACAAGGAGAAAAAGGGGAAGAAAGGGGAAAAAAAGAGCAGCATTCTGGGAAGGAAAAGCCATACCATCGGAGTTCAGGAGGATTGTGGTTACTGCCTAAACAAGCCAAGATTGAGATTCTGATGTTCAGAGAGTTTGTTCTGGGCTTCGGGGTTTGCAAAGAATAACCGCCACTTCCTAGTGACCTCAGATTCAATCAACCTTGGCAGCTGTAAGATGCGTGAACTTCAATTCCCAGAGTATCCCAGTCAGCCAGGCTGGGGAATTCTGGGAGCTGAAGTCTACACATCTTAAAAGAAAAAACATTGAAAGATGTTTTGTCACAGAAATGTCAACCTGTTGAAGTAGCCTTTTTGATTTCCATTTGGGCTGCCTAAAGGTACCCCTCTCTCCATTTGGGCAATTAATTCCTGGCGGCACCCTCACATCTCCAAATTGCTTCCCTGGGCCTTCAAATCTTTGTCTTTCCCTGAACCAGCCCCACCCACCCACCCACCCACAATGCCTCCTGGTTATTCAAGCAGCATTTAATGCGTCGCAACTTGCACATCCGGCTGGCCTTGAGGCCTGCACAACTGTAGACATCTAACTGCTTCTTGCAGTAACCAAAGAGAACGCTGCTTTTTGCGTTTGGACATGGTAGCCTGGAAAAAAATGGTTTCAGAAACCAGTGAGCAAAGGTGTTTTTTATGTACTTGGCACCTAGGGAAAAGTTTCTCCAGGATTTTTTTTTTTTCCTGTGTGCCACTTCCTCCCCAATGAGGGAGTCTTCCCAAGGCTGCTATTTTTGAAGAGGTGGGATGTACACATTCAACCATGAGCTACATCTAATCTTTGGGGTTGTTGTTTTTTTCTCTCTCTTTTTACAAACCAAGCATCACTTAACAGATGCATGCATTTAGTGTTTTGGTCCCAGATGTGAACAACTGCAGGACTGGGTTGATGCTTGCTTTCGATTCTCTAGAGCAGGGGTCTTCAAACTTGACAGCTTTGTGGACTTCAACTCCCAGAATCCCCCCCCCCCCCAGTCATGTTAGCTCAGGAACTCTGGGAGTTAAAGTCCACAAGTCTTAAACTTGCCAAGGTTGAAGGCCCTTGTTCTACAGCTTTGGGAAGTGCTGTTTTGTGGAAAAGCTTGGCCATAACTTTGTTTGAAGTTTTGTAGAACAGGCATGAGAAATCTCTCAACTAAGTAGTAATTCTAAACTACAAGGGCCAGCAACCTGGCCAAACAGGAACAACAACAGAACAGAATGCTGGGAGTTTGAGTTTTGCAATACTGCAGAGGTAAATCCTCACTTAACAAGCAGACGTTTTTAACAACAGTCTGAAGTTACGACAGCCACAGAACAAGTCATGGAACCATTTGCAGTTAGACAGCCATCAAACTGAAGTTATGATGGCCATTAAAAAGCCATTTTTTTAACAGAAAACATACCCAACCAGGGTTCAACTGCTCCTGTCTATGTGACATGTCAGCTTTATATGACCCAGCATGGCATTTCACCATCACGACCGTGATTTGCATGTGATTTGGGTTGGTTGTTTTTTTTTTGCCAGTTTCTGGCATATTTTTTTTTGCTAATTTCTGGCAAAAATTACCCCTTCAAATGAATTGGGTTTGCTTAAATTGCAATCAAACAGACCAGAAAATTACTTCTGATCATGTGGTTGTGTTGACGTACAACCACAATGACTTGTGTGACCATTATTCCGGGCTCTATTACATTTGTGAGTCAAGGACTACAATGCCCAGAAGGCCACAGTTTCAACCACGTGTTAATTCTGTACTTAAGACCCGCTAACAACCAGTTTCCTCCCCTGAGATTCTCCAGGTGGGTGGGACTTAAAAGGCATCTGCCCACCAGGGATACGAGGAAAGGCTACTCAGCACATCTAACAGTCCAGATGTTTGAAGTTACTCTTCCAGAACTCTGCATATAGCGGCTGGGGACTTCTGGGGGTTGAAATCCAGACACCCGAAGAGTGACCTTCAGCTCCCAGAATTCTCAGCAACGGTCACGATGGCTAGGGAATTCTGGGAATTGAAGTCCACATCTTTGGAAATGGTGCACTCATCTGGGTTCTTAACAGTGAATTGTTCCCTGCCGTCCATAACTCAATTCTTTTCTAGCAATGGCCATCCATAGCCTCGGCCTATTGTCCTTTGGGAATTCTGGGAGTTGGCATCTGTAGAACCATAGATCTGGTTTCCAGATTGGAATTGCTCACTTAGTATCTCCTTTAGCCATTTGAAATAGTCATTAAAAAGATTAAAAAAAAAACAGAAAACCACAACTAGTCTTACCACCCCACACACAAACAACCACGCAGAACCAAACTATCACATCCATTCCAGTAACAGTCACTCTGTTTGGCTTGTCCTGGGCAGGATCCTAATTGCTCCAGTCGACTGGCCTCCAAATAAACATGCATCCCTCATCCTCTATTCCAGAACAACAGCCCAGAACTTCAAAGCGCCCTGAGGACATTAAAGCTGAAGCTTAAGAAAGGAAGGTGCAGTTCTATACCTGTGGCAAACGATTGTCTTCACCCTATCGGCCGTGCCAAGATGCGGCGCCCGCACGCCGTCACCATGCACGACTCCTACGCATTTTTTTAAAAAAGGAAGAGGAGCCAGGGGGAAAAAAAGGAAGAAGCATTCGAGCAGGCACAAGGTGTCAGCCAGGATGGGGGGGGGGCGCGGGGGCAAGATTCTCCCGACTGCCAAGTGGTTGAATTATTGCAGAATTATCTCAAGAAACACTGCCCCCAAATATGGGGAGCCATGCTCGCCAGGCACCAAGACAACCTCCTGGAGCTCAACCAGCAGTCGGTCCAGGATCCGGGACCGTATGACCCGTCTCTTGTCAACGCCCACCCAGAGCATCTCCTATGCCAGCACGGTTGGCTGCCATCGGCAATTGGCTCCAGGAAGGATCTGTTGCATACATAGGGTCTCGGAGTGGCAACCGGGAGGAAAGTTAGTAGCTGCTCTCGTGACCCGTCAGGATGTAGAGGTTGCTGTGCGCCATGGGATTGTCCGTTGGGGTGCTCTCAAGGATGATGTCCCTACAAGGAAGGGGAGAAGTGGAAGGGACGATAAACAAGGAAAGCTGTCAACTCATAAAACATTCCTAGGCCTGTTTTCGAGTTGCCATAAACAAGGGAGAATCTGAAAGAGCATTACGGGAATTTAAAACCAGAATTTACAAAATTCACAACCACCCTTATTTACAAAGATTGTAGCTGGGCTACCGGATCTTCTGCCCATGAAAATCCTTCATTGGAGAATGTGATGGATGACACCCGGCCCGTGAAGGTGCTTCATTGGAGAATCTGATTTATGATACACCCAGGGGGAAGGGGGAAAACTGGGTCACAGATGACTGTGAATTGCGTATGCCAGAGTTGGCTTCATTTAGGTTAACGCCGACAGGTTGCTCCTAATAAATCTTTTGAATTTTTTGAAGCTTGGTTCAAGGCTCATGACTTAATTAGGGCAATTGCTGGAACCTTGACAAAATCTGTGTGAATCCAGGACTGTGTTTCTTAACCTTAGCCATTTTAGCATAAGTGGACTTCAACTCCCAGAATTCCCCAGCCAACCTGCTTTAAGATGTCTGAATCCCACAATTCCCTGGCCAGAATACTTGAATATAGGTGGACTTTAACTCCACCCATAACCTCAGAACTTCAAATCTTCTCAACCATGTCAGCTTTAACATGGGTGGGCATCAACTCCCAGAATTCCCCAACCAGAATGCTTGAATATAGGTGGACTTTCACTATCACAATTCCCCAGTCAGCAGGCTTTAGGATGTCTGGCCTTTGACTCACACAATTCCCTGGACTTAAATTTAGATGAACTTTAGCAATAGCAATATCGCTTTATAGTGCTTTACAGCCCTCTCTAAGCAGTTTTACAGAGTCAGCCTCTTGCCCCCAACAAGATGCGTTCTCATTTTACCCACCTCGGAAGGACGGAAGGCTGAGTCAACTTTGAGCCTGGTGAGAATCGAACTGCCAAACTGCAGGCGGCCGGCAGTCAGCAGAAGTCGCCTGCAGTACTGCACTCTAACCACTGCGCCACTTTAACTCTCATAATTCCCCAACCAGCATGGTTTAAATTATGTGAATTTCAAGTCCTAGAATTCTCTAGCTGGCCTGATTTAAGATCCATGAATTTCAGCTCCCAGAATTCCCCAGCTAGCATGCTTTAAGATATGAAGACTTTCCCAGTCAGCAATTCTGAAGTTCATCCATGCCTTAAAAGCATATTGCTAGGGGATTCAGGGAGATAAAATCCACATTATCTTCAAATTGCTGAGGTAGAGAAAGACCGGTCCAGGAGTCATCCATCTTTCCTACGCTGTCTTCCTGATGTTGCAACAGGCTGCCAGGGAATTGGGAAAAGGCCCATGCTTAATTCATGCCAAGTTGTGACTCTCATTGGGTCAAAAAGCAGACTTCCGGAATGTCAGAGAATTACACATAGTGTGCAAAATGTTTAGAAAGTGGGACATTTCAAACTTGAAACTGCAGTATTCCACTTCGGATGGATTTTTTTCCCCATACCAAAAGGGTTTTGAAGTGGGAACAGGGATTTTGAGCTTGGAATGCTTCAGGAGGTCAACAGACTTCTTTTCTGACTTGAATAAGAAATGGTTTTCCTTCCTTGAAATGTGCAATATTTCGTGGAAATAGGGGTGTGGGGTGGGAGCAAAGATGTGCAAATTAAAGACCTCTTTATCAGCAACTCACCTGTGAGCACCCAAGACTCGGAACACCCTGGATTCGTCTGTGACCTCCTGGGTCACCTGTTGGGGAGCAAAACATTTTTTTTAATTAAATTTATACACCGCCCATTTCAGTGTCCAGCAACTCTGGGAAGCATTGTAAAATCAAATATGTAGACTGTAGGATAATGTAGTTGAAAGGGACCTTGAAGGTCTTCTAGTCCAACCCCCTGCTCGATCAGGAAATCATATACAATTGCAGACAAATAGTTGTCTCAATCTCTCCTTAAAAACCTCCAGTGTTGGAAAATTCACAACTTCTGGAGACAAGTTGTTCTACTGATTAATTGTTCTAACTATCAGTAAATTTCTCCTTAGTTCTTGGTTGCTTCCCTCCTTGTTTGCTTTTCATCCATTGTGTGATGACCATTGTGCGTAACACAAGTGTAACAAAATCCAAAACATAAATAAATGTCCTTTAATGTCTCCAACTTGGCCCCACTGTTCAATAATTCTCAGTTGGAGATAAAACGTACTCAGAAATAGTCTTCAAAAGAAAGCAATACAGTCTGAACTTAATGAGCAGATAGATGTATAAAAAAACTAAAACAAACTACAATGAAGGAAATTCCACAACGGACCAGGATAAGTAATTACCAACTTCAAGCAGATAACAAGGCACAGTCTGCTGGAAGGGCACCAACCAAGATAACTTCAGCCCAAAATCACACACTCTTTGCTTCTGGCAATGCTGTGTTGTAATTGTCTCTCTTATATACTAGTCTCCCCAGCTGCAACCAATGAGGGGGATCATGGCCACTTCCTCTCTCGTAAGCCAAATTGCTTCTTTCTCCATTCCTCCCTGAGTGTCCTAGGATGCAGAGGGGATGGGCCTCTGACTGCCCAGCCGGCCTCTGGCCTTCCCCAGCCTCCTCCACAACCTCCGGAGCCACACCTCCACTCCCTGTCGGCTGTTCCTCCTCTCCCTCAGAGTCCAACTCTACCAAGGGCATGACGCATTGCTTCTTGGCATATTGTACCAATGTTAAAATATTAAACATTAAAATAAAGAGAATAACAGACCAACAGAGTTGGAAGGAACTTTGGAAATCTTCTAGTTCAACCCTCAAACAGGAGACCCTTCTACCATTCCGGACAAATGTTAAAAAACCAACATACAAATGAGATTTTCAGCAAGCTCTCAAATTATATAATCCTTATTGATCCTTCAAGGCTCTGGAGTCTCCTTCATCACACAGAAGGCTGACTCTGAATGACTCCTGGGCCAGTCTGTTGTTGGAATTCACACAGATATGTTGCCAAGAGTCAGGCTATTCGCTGGAAGCTACAACATGATTTGGTTGTTTCCCATTTTTACTGTACTATTATTTTAGGGCAAAAGACTTCCTTTGGGCGTTTACTCACCTCACTAGATTCCAGGCTTCGGCCTTGCATGCCATGTTTCCAGAAAGCCAAGACACTGTCTTGAAGGCACACTGTGGGGAAGCAGAGAAGAGACTTCCTTAGAGGGCGCTGTGTATGTGCTGGGAAGCTAAGCTAACTTCAGATGGGAGGCCACCAGGTATAGACCAAGCTGGGAAGTTTAAATGATCTCCATGGTGAACTGCTTCTACGCTACGGAATTGCCAAGGAAACTTAACATACCTCTAAAGCAGTGTTTCTTAACCATAGCATCTTAAAGAAGGGTGGACTTCAACTCCCAGAATTCCCCAGCCAGCAGAGAATTCTGGGAGTTGAAGTCCACCCGTCCTCAACATGCTAAGGTTGAGAAGTCACCAAGGATTGTTCTCACTTGAGAATTTGTTCTAGTAGTTGGCAGAGAAAATCAACCTAGAAAAATTCCAAGCAGGATAGTGTTTGGTTAGTGCTAGGAAAGGATACCACTAAGAAATCACATAGATGGACACCCAATTGGAAATTCCCAACCTGTCCCAGAGAAAGGCAGGAGGAAACTCGTGCCTTGTCATTTTGCCAAGAAGAAACCAAGTCATCAAGGAAAAAAAATATCACCTGAACCAGACCAGCGTGTTGATTCTGATCCACAGTGGATGTGTTTTTGTTTTGCGTTTCATTTGTGACATTGATTTTTTTAAAAAAACTAAATCAATCCAGTTCATTTTTAAAGGGTGCAAAAAAAGGTTGTTTCAGCCACTATAAAGAGGCAGCAAATCGCGCAAGGGAAGGTTTTCACAGACAGCATTTTGACTGGGAATTCCCAGATAGGAGGTGGTCCTTGGTCCTCTCTAAGCTTGATCATTTTTCTTGCAGACCTTTCACGACAAAATTAGGTAACAACATCAGTGCTGCTGTCAGGGTTCTGACGGATGCTCTAATCAATTCATGAGCCTTGAGCCAAGTTTCAAAAGAAACCCAATTATTTATTAGGAGCAAAACGTTGGCACTTTTCCCAAGCGCAGTCGGTTCTGCCCTACGTAATTTACTGCCTACCTATGACCCTGTTTCCCCCGCTCCTCCCAGGGTGTGTCATAAATCACATTCTCCAACCGACATTTCACGGCCCAATTAGGTAACATCATCAGTGCTAGTAGAGCGAATCCCCACTCCCTTCTAGTACTGTTGATGTCAGCTAGTTGGGTGGCAAAACGTCTGCAAGAAAACAACCAAGCTCAAGAAAGCACCAAGGACCCCAATTTCAACCCTGAGCTGCAAATATCTTTACGTACCGATGGTTTCGATGGGGAAATTGAAAACAAGCTCGGGTGTGAACACGCCTTGCGGTGTCCCCCGCAGATTCACGACCCGGACGCAGCCTGGGGGAGAAGAGAAGAGCTTTGAAAGACGAAGAAACACTCCAAGAGCAGGAAGAGGGTGGAAAAAAAACGGAGGCCAAGAAAACCTCCTCAAAAAAACATTCATGTGACAAACGTGTGATGACCCAGGGTGGGATACAAAACAAACACAGTCACAGAAATAAAAGGGGAAGCCCCTTTTATTCCTTCACTTTGCTTCTAAGCTCCGAATATCTTTGACAGAAGACAAAAAACTCCCACACAAACAGTTACAAGAAGGAGGGAAAAAGCAACACAAACCAGGCAAGATAAGGGCTGGAGGGCATCCACAAATAACAGAACACACACTGAGAAAGACGCCAAACTCAGAGAGGAACAATAAACTAGAGATATTTCCACGCTTTGTTTCCAGCATTCGCCTGTACGCATGTCTTTCCTCTTATTCAGTTGTCACAGCTGCAGCCCATGAAGAGGATCAAGGCCCTCTCCTTCCGAGTAGACCACGTCTCTCCCTTATCCGCTACTCCCTGCATGCCCTAGGATGGAGAGGGGATGGGCCTGGATCCTCCTCTGACTGCTCAGCCGGCCTCTGCCCTTCCCCAGCCTCCTCCACAACCTCCGGAGCCCACACTCCCACTCCCTGTCGGCTGTTCCTCCTCTCCCTCGGAGTCAGTCTCCCCCAGGGGCATGACAAAACGATCGAGGGACCTAGGTATGTCTACTCTATTGAAGAGAAGAATCGGGGGCGGGGGGGGCATGATAACTGTCACCCAACATTTGAGGGGCTGTCCCAGAGAAGATGAGGGGGCTGACTTATTCTCTAAAGCAGAAGTCTGCAAACTTGGCAACTTTAAGACTTGTGGACTTCAACTCCCAGAATTCCTCAGCCAGTTGAAGTCCACCCCTCTTAAAGCCTGCTGGCTGAGGAATTCTGGGAGTTGAAGTCCACAAGTCTTAAAGTTGCCAAGTTCGGGGACCTGTGCTCTAAAGCACCAGAGGGCAAGACAAGAAATAACTGGGTGGAACCTCATTAAAAGGAGATCCACCCTAGAATTAAGGAGGAATTTCCTGACACAACAATTAATCCGTGGTATGGCTTGACTCCAGAAGTTGTGGGTGTTCCATCACTGGAAGTTTTCAAAAATAAACTAGACCTCCCTTGGACTGGGATGGGATATGGTCTCCTGCCTTGAGTAGAGGGCTGGACTAGAAGACCTCTGAAGTCCCCTTGCACCCTAGGATTGTAGGTTCTACAAGAACTTACGTTCAAAACAAACGAGGACAGTATCTCGGTCCATCTGAGTGACGTGGCTGGCCAGGACAAGAGGACGTTCTGCAGGAGGAGAGAAGCCAGTGCTGAGAAACAAACCTTTGGAAGCACAAAGGCTGGTTGGTGCTTCAGTTGCTTTCTAGGCGAATCAGCGGGAATTATGGGAGTTGAAGTCCACACGTTGGGAGGGTGGTGATCTTCAAGGTGAGGATCGAACTCCTGGCAGAGGGCAGAGTTAGCCTGCAATACTATATTCTAACCACTGAGAGGGAGGGAGGGAGGGAGGGAAGGAAGGAGATAGATGAGGGAAGGAAGGAAGGAAGGAAGGAAGGAAGGAAGGAAGGAAGGAAGGAGGGAAGGAAGGAGGGAGGAAGAGAAGGAAGGAGATAGATGAAGGAAGGAAAGAAGGAAGGAAGGAAGGAAGGAAGGAGGGAGGGAGGGAGGGAGGGAGGGAAGGAAGGAGATAGAAGAGGGAGGGAAGGAAGGAAGGAAGGAAGGAAGGAAGGAGGGAGGACGGGAAGGAAGGAGATAGAAGAGGAAAGGAAAGAAGGAAGGAAGGAGGGAGGGAGGGAAGGAAGGAGATAGATGAGGGAAGGAAAGAAGGAAGGACGGAAGGAAGGAAAATAGCAATAGCCCTTAGATTTATATGCCGCTTCACAGTGCCTTTCCAGCCCTCTCTAAGCGGTTTCCAGAGTCAGCCTCTTGCCCCCAACAATCTGGGTCCTCATTTTACCAACCTCGGAAGGACGGAGGGCTGAATCAACCTTGAGCCAGTCAGGATCGAACTGCCTGGCAGCTGGCAGTCAGCAGAAGTAGCCTGCAGTACTGCATTCTAACCACTGCGCCTCTTAAAACTTCAGCGTTAAAAGGCAGGAAACAGATTCTTTCAACTGGGTTCTCCACAGTCCCCTTTTCTGACCCCCCCTCCCCCCAAATAGCTGCTCTTACTGGAAGGGCTGGAGGTGGTGTGGCCAGTGCTGAGCGAGAGGACGCTGAAATGCAGCTCGGCCCCCGGCTGATCGCTGCCGGTGACACCGAAGCACACTTGCGGGTATTCCTCCGTCTCCACGACCAGCAGCTCAAACAGGGAAAGGGGGTCGGGTAGCAGCACAGGGACGTGCTGGCAAGAGAAAATACAACACAACACAACAAAATAAAACAGAGAAAACATTGCCAGCAGAACCTGGCTGGGATCTAGAAGCCCAAATTGGAGAGGTTCCTGATTGTTGGCAGCTGCTCACGTACCTTCAGTAGCATAAATTTCTGCAAAGGTTCGTACCACTGTAGGAGGGCCAGGCTGGAGGGCAGTGCGGCACACAGAAAGGTGTTTCCTGAGTAAGGATTTCGGACTGAAATGGGGGTGGGGGGAGAGAGACAAAAACAGACAATGGGATTAGCCACCAACTGTTGGTCTCCACTTTTGCTGCTAGATAGGTGGACTTCAACTCCCAGAATTCTGCCTGGTGAATACTGGGAGATGGTCCTTCCTTCCTTCCTTCCTTCCTTCCTTCCTTCCTTCCTTCCTTCCTTCCTTCCTTCCTTCCCTGTTCCTTCCATTCCCTCCCACTTTTCCTTCCTTCCTTCCTTCCTCCTCCCCTTTTTCCTTTCTTCCTTCCTTCCCTCCTTCCTCCCTACCTGTCTCCTTTCTCTTTCTTCCTTCCTTCCCTCCCTCCCCTTTTTCTCCCACCCTCCCCTTTTTCCTTTCTTCCTTCCCTCCTTTCTTTTTTCCTTCTTTCCCTCTCATCTTCCTTCCTTCCCTCCTTCCTTCTTCTTTCCTCCCTCCCTCATTTCCTTCCGTCTTTCCTTCCTTCCTTCCTTTCCTTCCCTTCCTTTTAGAAAATGCCCCTTCATCACAAAGGGACTAAAAAACCCACAGAGCTAAGAACTTTGTGAGCATTCTGCAGACCTTAGTATTAAAAAATTAAAGAACTGCTGGATTCCAATCCTTGCAGCTGCAGAAGAAATATCTGCATTATTATTATTTTTTACATACAAAAATACCCCATACCATGGGCTTGTTCTCAAAGACAAATAAGGGTCAAGACCTCAAGAGTTTTGAATGAAAAGGGAAACTTAAACAGGCACTAAAGAACCTGCCATATTCCAAGTCACGGTTTGGTCCCCACCATGATGCAGGGTTTTCTAACCTTGGCAACCTTAAGACCTGTGGACTTCAACTCCCAGAATTCCTCAGCCAGCCATCTTAGCTGGGGGAATTCTGGGAGTCGTAGTTCACACTTCTGACAGGTCGCCATCCCAGAATTCTCAGCCAGGGCCATGCTGGATGGGGAATTCTGAGAGTTGCTCAGCACCACTCTGAAAGCGGGGGAAAGTTACGGTAAGAATTCAGAGGCGAATTCAAGAAAGATGGAAAATCTGCTGATAAGGAAGAGAGGGTAGTAGCCACACTCACCAATTTGACACTTAAGGCACCCTTTGGTATCTGCTATCTTGGCTGACAGAGCAAACTTCCTGCCACAAAAGGAAAATGGTTTAAAATACATACCGATATATATATATATATATATTTGCAAGGTCATCTCTTTAGAAAATTAGCAGACGTCCTTCCTTGAGCCTCGGAAGGGCGAAAAGGGCCTCTCTGGGCTCCGGAGGCTCTTTGGAAGCTGGAAACGGGCCCATTTCCGGCTTTCCCGAACTTCCAAGGGGCCCGTTTTTCACCCTCCCGCTGCACTTTCCTGCATCCCAAACGGGCCATGTGGTGACTCCTGGGAGGGGCGGGGCGGGGTGGGCGGGGCCAGGCAGGAGTGGGATTTTGGGGTTCTCCAAACTGCACAGAATCTTAGGCGGGAGGCTCTGCCGAACGCCTGCCAACGCCCAGTCGCCCACCCTTGGTTCTTGGTGCCCGAAAGGTTGGGGGCCGATGCCCTGGGCAGCATCTCTTCTTCCCCTCTCTCCCAAGGCCATTCCCGCAGTCCCGCTCCCCTCATGCCGTTAACTCTTCCTTAGGGACCTCTGGCCCTTCCTCCCCCTCACCTCTCCCCACCTGGGGATGATCCTCTCCGTCAGTCGGTTGGTGGCAATGGAAAGAGGGACCGGTCGCTTTTGAAGCTGACGGCGCTGCTCGAAGAGGCCCAAGAGGTTGTGTGAAGAGATCTGGGGAGACTTTCCTGAAAGGCGAGGAGAAGGAATGAGCCTGGGAGGGAAGGGAGGGACCCCTCTCCCCCTTTTTAGCTCCTTCAACCCAGCCAGATACAAAAAATTATTTCCCAGGCCCAGGTGTGTTCCCCGGAGACTCACCTGCCAAAGTCAGAAGGGTGTTGTTGATACAGTAGAGCCAAGAGCATCGGTGAGGAAGGAGCTGATGGGAGAAACAAGGGAGAAGAAGAGAAGAAAGGGAGAGAAGCAGAGGAAGAGAGAAAGGGTCCATCAATCTTGGTAAGCTCCGAGTAGGGAAATGTACGGTCAGGGCCCTGCCTGGAGGCATCAAAAGGGACAGCCAGATTGGTCTAGTAGTTAAGGCACCAGGCTACCAACTAGGCAATGGTGAGTTGTAGTTCTGTCTCAGGCACGAAAGTTGGCTGGCTGAGTTTGGAACAATCATCAGGAGATGGGTGAGT